TGTGGGTTCAAGACTTGGCTCCCCGTGAACCTGGGAAATTTTACTATCTCCTGTGCCTCAGTGTCCTCATTTGTAAAACAGAAAGGTATTGCATTAGAAATACACTAGAAAATGTCTTGTCCCGTTCTTGTCCCTGGAACATCATGCTATGTACTCATCCATAAGCCCTTTTCCTCCCTTCTTGCTTTCAGTTTGCCGGCTCCTTGGTTACTCTTCTCTGTCTTCAACGAGTTACAGCCTGTTCCAGTGAGCAGCAATGGCTTGTTCTGTGCAATTGTGTTGCTCCTTCTCATGCTCCTGTTTGTGATCTCTTCGATAGCGTCCTGTAGATGGAGGATGAACAAAATCCTAGGGTTTACCATGTTCCTCCTTTACTTCATATTCTTGATTGTCAGTGTAATGTTAGAAGATCGAATCATATCCTGTCCCATCTCTGTCTGAGTCAGTCTCGAGGCTGCCATTGAATGAAGAACAAATGAACACGTGATGTTCCTCTGTGAATCACTGTGTTTCCCCAAGGATGAACTCCACCCAGGGTGCTGCTGCTCAATTGAGAGGGTGTCTGGGAGTTCTGACAGTAAGCCACGTCAGGAACCAAAGGCCTGATGGTGACTTGGTTTCATACTTGGCTGACAGAATATTCTTCCCTAAAGGGCTCTCCCCCGGACCTCATGCTCCATGGTCGGCACACTAACACTATACAGGTGTAACTGAAACTAGAGAACTATTTTTTTAAGTGAGGGGTAGGTGAAAGGGGCTACTGAAGATAGCCTTCACCATTACACTATTCCCTGGCCACATCTGAGGAACCCCTGGAGCCTCCTAATCTCTCAAATCTTCCTTAGGCTCTAAACCAGATTCATCAAGCCAGTAGACATGTTTTCTCTATCTCCTTCCCTGAGCAAATATTGTGCTCTGCTTTCTCCTCTTACTACATTTTCTTGAATGAGGTGCCCATCAAGTTTATAGTCAAATTATTTTTTGTGAATTGAGGTAAAGGTCACTAGTAGGAAGAAGCATTATGAGAAGCAAACACTGTTCACCAGCATCAGTTTATCTTAAATGAGATTGACTTTGAGCATTTGAACGGTCTTGCTCTAAATAATGAGGGTGTGTGAGGCAGAGCTCCTCACATGTATCAATAATTTCTAGTTTAGAAGGGGAAAAGTTTATGAGCACTTTACAAAAGAGGAAGGAGCAGGACTAATGAAAAGTTCTGATTTTCTCGCACATTAGGACTACTGGGAGTGAGGCAGATATTGGAGAGGAAGAAAACAAAGTAAGATAATGACTTTAAAAGCGGACGTAATAGAATTTATGCATCCAAATGAGTGATGTTCTCTTTGAAGTAGTCCCTTGGGAAGCAATACACTTATTCTAACTGTTGCCATTTGCTGAAAACAGTTCCGGGACTTTTCTTTTGGCATCATCTAGAGCCCCAACACATCTTTTGAATATCCTGAGTGGTGGCAAATCTTTGTCCTTTGGGGATGGGTTTGATATTTGGAAACAATCATTGGAACCACTTTGGGCAATCAAATTGGGAACATTGGTCTTTAGTTTCTAAAGAACAAAATAAAGAAACAAAAACATTCAAGGTGTGACTGTAAAGAACTGAGATGGCTTTTTGGCTTGTAAACTGGCTCTGAAAGGAATAACAGGAGTCTTTCAAAGTGCTTTGGGCAGCATCCTTAGAATATGTAACATATAACCTCACAAGGTTATTAGTTTGATGGGGGAGGTATTTGTTTGGCTATATGAGTTGTGATACGGTCAGGAAGGTACCATTTTTTTTTTTTTTGGTGAGACAATTGGGGTTAAGTGACTTGTCCAGAGTCACACACCTAGTGAGTGTTATGTGTCTGAGGTTGGATTTGAACTCAGGTCCTTCTGATTCCAGGGCTGGTGCTCTATGCACTGTGCTACCCAGCTGTCCTGAAAGTACCATTCTTAGGGTTCTATTGTTTTGTATTCTGAAAAATGAAGGTGTTTTCTGAAAAGGCCTGGAAATGATGTTGCAAAGGACTACATAGAGATTCTTAGTTTCAACCTCCTCTGTGCAATTTGTTGATATGCTTTTATATTACAGCTTGCTGCTTTTATTAGACTTAAACTACTGATGAGGCACATCAGGAAAGACACAGCCCTCTTTAGTGTCACTGTTATGATCAAAGATGAAGACAAAAGCAGCTGAGGGTGACTGTTGATTATAGTTAAATAGTGAATGACAACATAAGAAGGGAAACTCCTGCATCTCCGAACTGCTCCAGAACCAGACGGTGGAATCAACAAGAAAGACTGCAACTACAAGGGACCCTTTCTCCCAAAGCCTCAATCAAAGCCCATCTGCCCAGATCCCAGAAGGATCTTTCCTTCCCAATAGTGCACCTTGAGGACCTCTGGTCTTTGATATTGGTTTTGATGTTGGACCTTCAGGATCAATGGGCCTTTCCATTCACTTTAAGCAGATGATTCTTTATGTGCTGATGCTCTCAATCAGAATGGGAGCTCTTTGAGAACAGGGACTGTTTTGTTTTTCCATAACCCCAGAACTTAGCAGTGTTGGCACAGAGTAAATACCAAATAAATGTTTTCCCATTCCATTGAAGGACACCAGAAATATAATGCTTTGAAACAAATGAAGAATGAGATGACTTATTGTGAGCCTTAGAGAAACCATCCATATGATTTCTCTAATAAAATACAAGTGCAGTTTCTTTCAATGATACTTCTCATTTTGATATAATGAGGCAATAACTTTTCTGTATCTTCTAAGATCTGTAGGTCACATAATGGTCACCTCCACCAAGGATTCTACCATGCAATTAAAAAAGTCAAGGAATTGTAGATCTGAATGTTAATCATTTCACCAAATACCATATGTCCTCATCTCTAAGTTCATCAGAATATGTAATAGAAGCTCATTAAAGCTATGTAATTATACTCACAATGTAATTTCTGTAACATCAGTTCTTGACATCCGAATATTGAAGAAGTTACAAATTTAGGCAATTCACCTTGCCTCGAATGTTTTGACAGGAAAAGTAAGAGGAGAAGGTGGGAAGAGGGAGCTCATCCTCGTTCAGTGGGCTGCTCAACTCAACCTCTAGCTTCAGGACATGATTGCTCTCACATAACTAGCCTCTGGCAGGCCACTTATTTTTCACCCAGGGATCAGAAACTCCCTCAAGGATGTGATGAAAGATTATAAAGAATTCTGCAATTAGAAAGTGCTGTATCTTTTTGTTAAGGGATTAAAACCATTTTTTTTTTCATGAGGTTTCCTTTGGTCAAATGATAGACTTTCTTAACATTTTTCTTTGTTCCCTCAGAAAAGAGGTGACCAGTTCTGGTCAGTCCCATACTCTATGTCACAGAAAAGAACAAGAGGGGGTAGAAGTTGAGTAGTCAATAAAATTAAAGACTTCTTAAAATCCTATTAAAATACACACAATTTTAAATTGAGAAGCAGTGACTTCATTGCCAAAGTATATTACACTAAATTAGGAAGATCATCTTCATTAACTGAAAAACTGACGGAAGATAAATGAATAATCCAAAAGAGAGAAAGAAGCAATAAAATACCAATTTCTATTTGCTATATTGCATAACATTAAAAGTGTTAACCTATAAGTTTTAAAAATCTTTAATTTTTGTAAATTTATTTTTAGTTTTCAACATTCACTTCCACAAGATTTTGAGTTCCAAATTTTCTCCCCATCTCTCCCCTCCCCCACCTCAAGACGATGTGCATTCTGAATACCCCTCTCCCCAATCTGCCCTCCTTTCTATCACCCTCCCCCCCCCTCTCTTATCCCCCTTTCCCTTCTATTTTCCTGTAGGGCAGGACAGATTTCTATACCCCACTGCCTGTATATTTTATTTCCCAGTTGCATGTAAAAACAATTTTTAACATTTGTTTTTAAAACTTTGGGTTCCAAATTCTCTCCCTTCCTCTCTCTCCACCCACTCTCATTGAGAAGGCAAGCAACTCGAAACAGGTTATACATGTGTAGTCCAGCAAAACACTTCCATAACAATCATGTTGTGAAAAACTAATTATATTTCCCTTCATCCTATCCCACCCCCTCCTCCCCATTTATTCTGTTCTCTCCTTTGACCCTGTCCTTCCTCAAAAGTGTTTGCTTCTGACTACCCCCTCTCCTAATTAAACTTTAAAAATCTTACAATAAAGTACAAAACTTGCAGTCACCTATGAGGAAAATCATAAAATAAGTAAAAGTTATGCTTTTAAAGCTGACTTTAAAAGTGACTAGTAATTTTCTTAGTATCAAATAACTTTGCTCTTAATGCTTAGCTACTGTCCTGTGTAGCCAAGATTCTTAACCCTATGGAAAAAGAGAGAAACTTCTAAAAGATGTTTAAAATAGAAAAGAATAGCTATACTGATATTGTAGCTAAATCTTTTTTTATTTTACATTGTAAAACTGAACAGAATTTCCATTTTTCCATAGACAAGAGAAAAATGTCTATCATGAACATTGATCAGATGCATTTTAAATGAATTACAAAACAAAACAATGACCTTCCTGATGTTCTTTTTGGTAAATAAAATTTCAGTGTTACATATTTACAAATCTACAACCACTCATTAAAAAGTGCAGTTTTGGAGGTAACAAAGTACCATTTAAAAATCCCAAAGATAATAACAAGAAATGTTAATGTAATAAATCAACATGTACCATATGATAAAGATTTGATATGCAAAAGCGATCCATTTCTTTTTCAGGGATAAATTCTTGCCAGCATCAATATGACATGGAGAATTTTAAGGAATCATTCAACTTTGAGATTCGTAACTATTGCATTTGGAAATTACTTAGATGGTGATGAACTCCGGGATAATTTTTGCTTACTTATATACCTATGATTGCATTTTCTTGGTTCATTGTTCTGACCTGTAATGTACTGAAAATGTAAAACTCTCATTTAGACTATTCAAGACATTGCAGGTACACAGGAAAAAATGTACTTCAAGCTAAAAAACGTACTTGCTTTAAATATATTTTTGTTACAAGTGTTGAAAAGCACATGGTAGCATTTTTATCATCAAGCAGAGATTTGGAAATATTTATTGATTCAAACTATAGGAATGGCTCTGTGATATGGTCTTCATAAAATTTCTATTTGACGCTTTCAACAGGATTAACCTAGGGACATATTTGCTTTGTGGTGAAAGGAGGTGGGTATTACCGAATAGTCAGAGGACATTGTGCTGAGGATGCTAAGGTTATTACTGAAGGGCAGCTGCTAAGTAGAAAAGTAAAAGTCTGGGAAATGAAGGCTAGACATGTGTGTGAATAGGAATGGGCAAAGTCTACCTCAACTTCTAGCACAAATACCATTGAACCACTCCAAAGAAGACTCTTTCCCTTCCTGGCTTGAGATAAATGACCTGGATGGAAGCACCCAAGTAAATATTGATGCAAAAATAAAAATGAAGCTTCATGCAGCGTTGTCAGTGAAAAGACAAATAGGTATTTCCTTAAATGGGATCATAGGAGTACAGAACACTTTGTAAATACAAGGTAATTTCTGTAAAAGGAAGAATGTAGCACATTCTCATTATTCTCAGATTTCATAGTGATTATGAAAACACTTTGGAAAGAAGTATTGTTAGCTACTTGATACAGGATACTGACATTTTCAGTGATAATTTTTTTAGACTGCAACTAAAGAAATCAGAAAATAAGTAGATCTACACAATTCTGCAGTTGAGAAAGAAAAGGAGGGTAATTGAAATATAACATGACATTAAAAAATCACTAGCAAATAGTAATGGATAGCTAATTTTCAGAACATAGTAGAAGTAGCATATACTTTACATCAGTAAGCAGTATGGTTTTTACTTAATTTCAACAATTTCAAAGTCTAAACCAAACCAAGCATTCTAAAATGAGACAGTGTACCAAATGGGAAAGGAACTTCAACTATCCACATCTGTCTATATGATCACATAGATCAAGCACAATACCTGTGGCAAAAAAGGGTGCTTTCCTCACAGTTCTCCTGACTTAATTTTCCATCACTCTCTATCTGCAAAAGGTAAAATTCTGGAAAAATACTTCTATAGAATATAGAATTATTTTTAAAAAACTGGCCCAAATACTAGGAACAGAATCCAGACAATAAGATAATTTAAACAACCACTTCCCAAATGTATCTGGACTGTAATAATAGGACATTTAGATTTATATAAGAATGTAAAATACATTAGTAGCTAAGAAAAAAGTAAATAGCCATGAGAAAGCCTTTTATAGGAAAAAAAAATCCAATACACAAGTACCTCATTACAAAAATGACTTGGACTAAATTCATGCTCAGTCTCACAGCTATCCAACATACTGTCTCCTAAGATGCTTACGGATAAAAATTTTCAAATTTATTAGTGAATTAGAGAATTAGAATACCAAGTATGAGAAGCTTACAATTAGTTGGGAATAGAAACTGTGGTAGTGAAAAAAGAAGCAGGCACAACATCACATCATTGAAGTAAGCTAATGTCAATATAAGCCCGACTTAGGAGCATTACATATATTTCATGCTCATCATTTCCCCAAGTGGAAAATGGTAAAATCCTTTAAGTTGAGACCATTCACTAGTGGCTCGACTTAACAATGAGGCCCATTTGTAGTTCAAATGATTTAGAAAATGAATGATGGGACTTTTAGTTACATTACAGTAAAGGCACGTCTTATCCTCTTCAACAAATTGCTTCACACACACACACACACACACACACACACACACACACACACAATTTGGGATCATTTCCTTGGTCCATCTCAGCACATTATCTGGGCAATTTTCCTTTGTTAATGACAACACATGCACACAATCCAAACAATGAAAATCATTAAAGTGACTAATGGTAACAGGGGGATACTTTTTCCCCTTGGAAGTAACAACTTAAAAAACACTGAATAGAGTAGCACAACTAAGTGTTTAAAACAAAACAAAACAAAACGAAATCAATTTCAGGTATCTCTGAATAACCAGCAATAATGCTTGAACATTCAGCTCATTGTCTAGTTTCCATAATTTATAGATCTTGATGGCTTATTTCAAAAGCTACATAATTTAATATGGGAGATCTGTTCTGTAATTTATCCCTTTAGAAAATGAATGTTTTGCTCCATGTAAAATAAAAATATATTTTAAATATAATTCTAAATGGAGTGCTCTGATTGTGTTCCCTATAACTACCATATAGCAAAGATGACATACCCAATCTCATATATTAAAATTGGAGTATATCTGCCATAATTGCTATCTTGCACATTAAAATTAGGATAAAACTTTTGGAGTAGTGTCAACCTACTTGGAATGTATACCATTATGTATATTTATAAAATTTATGTTTAATTTTGCAAGTTCCCCCCCCAATGTACTGTATATAAGTGCCATTAGCAACAACAACAACAAAGTGCTGGATTCTTCACTGTATGCTGGGCCTGAGTTTAGAAGGTACTGGAGAATTATATTTGGGACTTCTACTACTCTCAAGATTGTCAGTGTGCCAATCTTGGCAGTGGATGGAGTCTATCACTCTACAACTTACACATATGTACAACACTTTCAAACTTATGGCTTCCCAACGTACAAATGCAAACTGAACCCAGGACAACACTGGGGCTCGGGTTGGCATTTATTGACCATTGTGTGTCCTCCCCTCCTTCCTACACTCCTCTCTCCCTTTTGAAAACAGGTTGGACTATTGGTTCCAAATAGCAGCAGACTTAGAAGGAAGAGCGCTAAATTGCTCATTTAAAGTTTAAATTCATTTTAAGTTTGCTATAGTAATTTTAAAAAAATTAAAAAAATATCAACTTACTATAAACAATTTAAAACATGTATAATACAACCTTGTGTTTTTTATAACATCTGAATAATCTATGTAAACAGCAGATCCTTTGATTTTATGTTACTTATTAGTATTAATACATGATTTTTATCACTGTTTTCCAAGAGACTGTCTTCTTTTAAGACAATTACTTTTAATTATGGTTTTTCCCCACCATGTAACTCTTTATAGAGGGGAACGACAAAAGGACCAGGAAGCAAAGCAGTGTTTAGCCCACTTGTTACTATTCTTTACCTAAAACATTTGTAGTTTATCAGGGCTGTCTGACTCTGCTGCAAATGCATTTTCAAAAAATGAAGATAGAAATTTTCTTAGAGACTGAAATGGTAATTTTTACATAGACTGTACAAAACATATATGGTGTGTGCATATATGCACATACACACATATTTATGTAAATATATACACATAAATTTATTTTAAAGATAAGGTTCGCCAAATATCTTTCGACATTCCATCACTCCTGTGCTTGGTGGTCTATCACAGTTGTGGGTACTCTTGACTTGATTAGGTGTAAGACGATCATATGCCATCTTGTATTCTCTGTCAAATGCATCTGTAAATATTCACACAGACAAAGAAATCTGCATTTATAGGGGTATGTAGAATCAGTAACAATGTATTATATTACTTCAGGAACACAAAATCAAAAGCTTGGAAAGAATATCTAGAGGTAATTTTATTCATCTTCTAAACTTAAACTATCTCAAAATATACCATTTGTAACATATTCCAATGTTTTGCAACCCTTAGAACTAGAAAATTCTTTCCAAATAAAGGGTTATTGAAAACTAACTGGGCAATCTTCTGTAATACCCTAAAACTACCGATTAACCAACTCTAAGTTAGCTTCTCTAAAGGCTAATTAAAATTCTACTGCTTTCTTTGAAAGATTTAAAAACTTTGATCAACACAATGACCAGTCATAATTCTAGATGACTCACGATAAAACATGCTACCCTCTGCTTCACAGGGAGATAAGTGGATGCAGATTGACACATTTTTTTTTTTGATACGGCTAATATTTGTTTTGCTTGAATATGCATGTTTGTGAGAAGGGTTTTGTTTTTATTTCTTTTTTAATGGTGGGGAAGAGAGAGAAGAGAAAAAAGTTGGATTTTCATTAATTAAAATTATAAAAATTCCACTTGCTTTCTAGACCCTTGAATTTTCTAATCTTACTGAAGTTGCAGGCCTCTATAATATATATTTGAATGACTCCTGAGTAAATATAGACGGTCATTTAGAGGATTATATCCTCTTCTTCAGTTTATGCATCCTTGTGTGAATATCAGTTTTTTTCTCTCTGACAAAGGCACTAAGTGCTGATTCATGTTAGACTTGTGATTAACTATAAATACTAGCCCACAGATGGCACACAGGCATGAAAGAAAGTTTCGTCCTTCCTTTTTCTATTTTGACAATATGTTTTTTTTTTCCCTCCTAAACCAAAATACCCTGCCTGTATTTCTTTTAAACTTCTTCTTATTTAAATTTGGCCACTTTTCTGATTTTCTTTTCTAAGATGCCTGCTGCCACACCTACACATCTTGCTGCCCAATTTCATAAATGCTTTCATTGTACCAAAAGTCTTAAAGTCTTAAACCCTGATAGCTACTCTTTTGATAGTATCCTTTAACCAAGGAGGTGATCACATTATAGAAGCATATTCTATGCTATATTATTTTATTTATTGATGGGTAAGTCTTAGAGAACCAAATCAGGATGGTCCAATCAGTTAAATCTATTTATCATTTTCTTGCAGAATTAAAGATTAAAAGGGACCTTAGAGGTCATCTAGTCCAACCCCAACAATAGAGGAGGAAAATAAGGTTCAGGGAAGGGGAGGGTTTCAGTTTCAATTAGTCTTATATCAGTAAATATATCAGTAGTTATCAGGTGTGCCACGCACCCAGCCTTAGAATGCTTTCTGACCATCCACAGTGATTTAAATTGGATGGTCCCAAATAGTCTTCTTTGTAGCTAACAATGGCCATTTTTGCATTCCTCCTGAGGTTTAGAAGGGACAAACTTAAAGAAGAAAAAGGTGAGCAAACTAAGACAAGTTTGGGGACTAATGATAAATATACTTAAAATACATAATTTAAATTTACCAGTATTCTCACCAATGCATTCTTATTATATGAAATAATATTAAAGGGATAAGGCTTTGGAGAAATATGTTCTTATAAAATAATTTACATTTATTGTTTGTTTTTAAGTTGGCACAATGAAATAGCATAATTATTCTTTTTCTTGATAATAACTTGTATTGAAAAACACGGTGCTAAATAAGTATAAAATAGTATTATTATAATGAATTATACCTATGTCAATGTTGTCTCTTCCCAATGCCACAAGTGAGAGAAATAATATTTCTCTATATAAACTCCTGAAAAAAAAAGGTGGGGGGACAGAATAAAGTGTTAGGTTCCAAATATTAGGGGAAAGTATGTTCATTATAAGTCATGTTCATGCTAAAATAGACATGAAACCAGTTTTGACAATAAATTACTAAGCAATGAATTATTAATTTGTTTTGAGGGACCTCATGCTCATTTTGAAATGTTGCCTGACTTAAAAAAATGGTTCTTACCGTTGTCGTTTAAGATGAGGCCATTTGTTCAGTATCTCCAAAATCTGACTCATTGGTCCATAAACGTCGTTCATCTTAATACTTTTTACCATGCTTTTCAATAGTTCGTGGTTAAATGAGTTATCACCTTTTTGCAATAAATGGACCATTGGGTACTTTTGGGCTGTAAAAGAACCAAGGTAACAAATGAAGCAGTGTTCATTGTCTAGAAAGAAGAAAAAATAATTAAAAAGCAGCTAATGGGTATTTTTCTAGATGGGCACTTTGAAAAATTATAAACTATTAAAAAAGCACCAATAAAATAAATTAAGAACAATCCTAGGACAAAGAAAGGAACAGGGATAAAAAATATGGATAAGGCATAAAAGGAAAAGACAAGTATGTCTAATGAGTGACTACGGGCCTAAAATATAACATAGTTTCATACAAGCAACAACATATGTTTTGCCCCTCAGAATGTCCCTTTAAAACATTTGAATTGGTAGTCTAGGACTGAAAACTAGTGAACAGGCAGAAAAGGAATCTGGAGGAAGGAATCTGCTGAAAGCTGAAATATTTTCTGACATGCGCATGCACATTCACACATGTACCACCCCCCTCAAAGAAATCCACACATTAGCAACACTAAGCATAACACTCACTCTCAAACAAAAGAGTACGATTTTGACCTGAAAGACAAAAAGTTGCATTAAAAAATATCAGTTGTATTACTATCCATGATACTTGAAGAAAATAATTAATTAATGTATGTCAGAAAAGATTTCTTCTTAGAAAGGTACTTACTCTGTGCATTCCAGAGGATGTATAAGGGTTGTCCTGGATCCTGGTGTAATTTCATGTTGTCCCATAACATCTGAATTAAAACGTATTTGCTGTCTTCTGACATACAGTGACGGGGAATCTAAATAGTAAAAAAGGAAAAAATAATTAATATGAGGAGTTCCCTATAGAATAAATTCTTTTAGACACAAAATTAGTCAGAATGAACATGATATACTATATATACGTATATAAAAAAACACATGCTCCCCCTTCTGGGCTCTTGGAGCTGGGAGAAGGAGGAGAGGGAGAGAGAAAAGGAAAGAGAGAGAGGGAGAGAGGGAGAGAGAGAGAGAGAGAGAGACAGAGAGACAGGGACAGAGAGAAGGAGAGGGAGAGGGAGAGAGGGGGAGAGGGAGAGAGAAGGAGGGAGGGAGAGAGAAGGAGGGAGGAAGAAAGGGAGGAGAGCAAAAGAAAGGCAGGAAAGGCCAAAAGGTTGTTTTTGGTAGCCCGTGTGCTTCCTTCTTCTTTTCTCCTCTCTCCAGTATCTTTGCCAAGAAAATCCCATGATGGTATGGTAAGGAGGCAGCTAGGTGGCTCAGTCGATCTGGCTTTAGACAATAACTAGCTGTGTGATCTTGGGCAAGTCACTTAACCTATTTGCCTAATCCACTGGAAAAGGAAATGGCAAACCACTCCAGTATCTTTGCCAAGATAACTCTACATCAGATATGCTGAAGAGTCAGACACAACTGAACAACAACAAAAAAGAAACCTTAATTATGCTATACCAGGGGTGGGGAACCTGTGGCCTCGAGGTCACAGGTGGCCCTCTAAGTCCTCAAGTGTGGCTTTTTGACAGAATCCAAACTTCATGGAACAAATCCCCTTAATAAAAGGATTCACATCTTATTGATGTGAATGTTCTCTCCAGTGATGAAGATGGCAGCCTATTTGATGAGATTCCTGTCTCTGCTGTCCCCTATGCCCTCTCCCTGCCCCACCAATCCAACATACTGGACTGCTTTTCTTGGTCATGTCCAACAGGATGTCAACCTGTCATCCCTTCATGTTACCATGTTATCTTATTTTCACATCATATATCTCCCCGATGATATAATTTACTCTTGTTCTGGGGATGATAGCTGTACTATTCTACAACTTAGGGTATCTGGGAGGAAAGAGCTTTGTAAACTTTCAAGAGCTAATTGTAAGTAATGTCTATGGGTGGCTCAGTGGATAGAGCTCTGGCCTTGGTGTTAGGAAGACTCATGTTTCTGAGTTCAAATTTGACTCCAGACACTTATTAGCTGTGTGATCCTGAGCAAGTCCCTGAACCCTGTTTGCCTCACTTTCCTCATCTGTAAAACGAGCTGGAGAAGGAAATGGCAAACCACTTCAGTATCTTTGCCAAGAAAACCCCAAATGGGTCATGAAGAGTCAGATATGACTAAAACAACTGGACAATGTATCTACTAAGGATGTTATAATATGTTATTGTTTTGTTGCCAGACTCACAGAATTTGAGAGTTAGAAGCGACTTCTATGGCCATCTAATCCAATCCATACTCAAAAGGAATTTCTATTTCAAAATAATCCTTATTACCTCTCCCCCTCAAAGCAGTCATCCAGCTTCTACTTAAAGACTTTCAGTGACCTCCCCCACCAACTCAGGAGGCAACTCCTTCTACCTCTGGACAGCTCTAATTGTGGGAAAGGGTTTTTTCCCTCCTGACACCAAAATCTAAATTTCCTATCTTGCAACTTTCATCCATCGTTCCTGATTCTGCCCTCTGGGTCAAACAGAACAAATCGAGTCCCTATTCCACATGACAGCCTTTCAAATATTAGAATAGGCTACCATGGTCCTCTGTGTGCTCTCTTCTCCAGGCTAAAAACAACGCCGGTTTCTTCACCATCCTGGTTGCCCTTTTCTGGATACTTCTTAGCTTAGCAATGTTCTTCTTAAACTGGGGCGTCCAGAACTGAACAAAATTGTCCAGAGGAGGTCTTGATAAGGGCAGGGCACAGAAAGACTCTCATCTCTTTACACATGGCAGTTATACCTCTCAGTGGCGCCCAAGGTCAGATGTGGTAGCCACATCACAAGGCTGACTCATGATGAGCTGGTAATATGCTCTAACCTCTAGACTGTTTTCAGACAAACTGTTGTCTGAAAAAGAAAAAAGCTCTTCCCCATCCTATGCCTGCGGAGTTGCTTTTTTTTGTTGTTGTTCCTAAGTGTAAGACTTCACATTTATTCCTACTGAATTTCATCTCCTTATATTCAGTACAATGCTTTAGGGTGGCTGTCAAGATCTTTTTAAATCCTAATCCTGTCATCCAGTGCGTTAGCTATTGCTCTCATCCTAGAGTCATCTGCAAATTGGATGAACATGTCTGCCTTAATCCAAGTCATTGATAAAAATGAGAGTAAATGGAGGGGAAGAAAGAACTATAATAAGGAATGCATTTTTTTTTAAAAGTTCACAAATGGTCATTATGGCTGTTAAGGTCCTAGAATAAATGAAATATAATGAAATCCCATTTTTTATAATTGAGAATAGGCAAATAATTTTTGAGGTAAAGAGAACAATATTTAGAGTATCACATTTGGTATGCTTTTCTCTCATACCTTAGAATACTTATTACAATGCTCAGAAGACAAAATCAATCCAGGCAAATTACTGGGTAAGTCCAGACGTCTAAAATACCACACTAGATTCCAAAATACAATTGGGTGATGGTCTACAAAGTCTGCCACCGTTATTGCATTATCGCCTTCATTTTCCAATAAACTTTCCAGTTCTTTCCATACCACTAATGGACTGAGATATGGGACAGTAATAGGGTCTGGACTTGGAAGGTCCCACTCTAATCCCAATGACTCCTGTTGCAAAACAACAAAACAAAACAGTCATACAAGTACAAAACATTTAAGTGGAATCATACTTTTGAAACAACTGTTATGATATACTTTGTCACTTAAGGAGAATAGTAATAATTTTCATTATAACTTTATTATGGAAGCTTAAGACTTTAAGCTTCCATAATAAAGTTATGATGAATTTAAATGAAGGCTAACAAGACTATACAGCATAAGGGAAATGAAAGTATGGCTAAAAGATCAGTGTCCAAATTAAAAATACCAAATATACCGTTGTGCCTTGCAAAGTTGCTGGCAGACTGCCTGTAGACACAATGTGGCTAATCTTCTGGCCTCCTGTTTCTTCCTTGTCTAAGGGACCATACGTACTGATGCTCCTGGCCACTGGAAATATTGGACATTTTGATGTGCTCATATTTTGTCTCCTCCCTTCAGGGATCTGAATACTTCGGGCACATGAATTTTCTTGCTCTTTACATTTGCTTGAGGGAGGGGAAGAAGAATTGGCAATACTTAATACATAGCATACACAATGAAAATGTTCATTTATGCAGAGGAATATAATACAATGTACATTTCTATAGTGGTCTGATATAGACTCTCTGGATCATAAGAAACCTTAGAGGCTATTTATTCCTAGTCTTTCTCCCCTCACCTACTTTAATTTCATGGAGGGAACCCATGTTCTTACCTTAACCCCTGCCCCATTTCTCTAAACCTTCTCTTCTCCAGGACAAGCTTTCCCAGATACCTTAATCAATCCTCATAATCTCATAATCTCAAGGCCTCTCACCTCTCCCTCCAAATGAATTTTGTTGTTATTTTGCCTAGCTCTATAAAGAATAATTTTTGTAGTTTTATTGGTATATCACTAATATGTAAACTAATTTAGGAATTCTCATTTTTGGCATATTAGTGAATTCCAACAACAAGCAATGAATATCCCACTAATTATTTAAGTCATGTTTAAGTTTTTAAGAGTATTTTGTAAAAATATTTTTACAAGTCTTGAGTGAATCTTGGTAGATTGACTCAGATATTTTATGCATCTTATAATTGTTTTAAATAGAACCCCTCTTCCTGTTATTTTCTTTTGGAGTTTGTTTTTACTAAAAAGAATCAAATGTTGATTTTTGTTGATTTATTTTGTATTTAGATATTTTACTGAAGCTATTAATTGCCTCAATGAGTTTTTTTTGCTGATTCTCTTAGGTTCTCCAAGAAAGCCATCTTTCACTAGCAAACAGAGCTAGTTTTGTCTACTTTTTGACAGTGTTTACACCTTTAACTTTCTCTTACCTTATTATTAGCGTGCAAGCAATTCTAGCATTATGTCAAACAATACTGGGGAAAGAAGACATCTTTGGTTTGCCCCTGTATTTAATGGGAACACTGACAGTGTTTCTCCATTGCAAATAATGCATTTTAATTTTAGATAATACTTTTTCTAATTTCCCTTCTATGTTAGTACTTTGGAGAGTTTTTTTTCTTTTTTAGCATTAATGAATATTGAACTTTGCAAAAGTTTTTTTATGTTTATTGATGTAATCCTGTGGCTTAGGATGTTTTGTTTTTAATATGGCTACTTATATGAATTGTTCTTCTAATGAAGCACTGTACTTGCATCTATTTTGGTTAAGTTAAATAATGTTGTTAGTTAATTGCAATAGTTTTTTTTTAATTAGGATTTTATGTAAAAATTTTGAAAGTGACATTCTTTAGTTATAAAAGTCTATATAGTTCTTTCTTTACTTTATCCTTTCCTAGCTTATGTGTTAGGAATACATTTTTTCCTATTTTCCTTCTCAATTTTTGAGAAAAATTTGTAGTTTAGGTATTAAATTATATCACTTGCAAACGTGTATATTTAAAAAAAACAGTTCCTCATTCCCAACTATTCATCCAAGCTTTGTGTTATCTACATATCTGATAAGCATAACATATGTCTTTCCCAAGTCACTGATAAAAATATTAAACAGCACAAGGAAAAAGCAGAGACTGTACTACAGACCCTTTAAAACTGCCAATACTCTCATTATTGACTACACTTTGGGTCTGATCATTCAACTGGTTCTGAATCAACCTAAAAAATTGTAGCATATCTAGCCTACATCTTTTCATCTTTCCTATTTCTAGGTAAATGATATTTTTCACATTCTCTTGATTTACCAAACTAGTAACCCTAACAAAATGAGAAATAAGGTTCATCTAGCATGACTCCTTGTTGTTTTCAAACTTAAAAAAAATTTTCTTACAGATGTCCTGACATGACATCATTCATTGCTAGGAGGAAAACTCTCCCATATCCTCAAGGATGAATTCTCCCTTGTCACAAAGGAAATCAATTAAACAAGAAAACCTGACAGAGTGACATCTGACAACCACATTCTTCAGTGCTAAGTCCCCCTCCCCTCTGGCCTAATGAGAGACCTTTCATTTTCTGATCTTCCGGACTATCACTGCTTTCTCAATTGCTCAGAGTTTAACTTCCTTTTGGTTATTTTTTTTCACAATGTCTTTCTGATTCTGCTTATTTCACTTTGCAGCTAGTTATGTAAATCTTTCTACCGTTTCTCTGGATTCCTCATAGACCACATTTTCTTTCTCCTGCCTTTCCCCAACTGATGGATACCCTCTCTGCAATATTAAAAAATCGGAAACAAAGACTGCCACTAGTGATATTTTGTCTTTGGTGTTCTTGGGGTATATGCCTGGTATTGAGGTCATTGGGTCAAAGGGTATGGTATAGACAGCATAATCACTTCTGAATAATTTTAAACTGAGAGTCCGAATGAATGGGTCAATTCAAAAGTCCACCAACTATGTATTTATGTGGCTGTCTTCCTATAGCCCTTCTAACATAGACTGGTTTTCTGGTTTTTGTTTTTGCTTTCTTTTTCATCTTTGACAATTTGCAGAGTGAAGTGAAATCGCAAAATTGTCTTAACTTGCATTTTCTCTTACTCCTAGTGGTTTGGACCACATTTTCACACAATCATGTATAATTTGAAGCTATTTTCTGAACTCAGAAGCCCAGAGAGGAAGTGACTTGGCCCAAACATTACACCACTCTTGTGTGATGGAGTTGGGAGTTTACACTCAGGTCCTCTGCCCTGAAATCTTTTCTTTTTTCTCTCTATACTTCCTGGATGACCTCTCTTTCCTGGCCAGTCCCTATGGATTCACATCATCATTCCTTGTAGCACAAGCAGCTGTTTCTCTCTCAAAAGTTCAGAATATTCCCTTCTGCTTCTTGTCTTTTACTTGGTTCTGATTATTAAGTGGTACTTCTCCCCTTTCTCCCCTGTTGGCATATTTTCCCACTTGACCTGGCTTAGAATTCTCTTCCACCTCTACATATCCTTTTCCTTTGTTTTCACCTGGAAGCCCTTCTTCCATATTTTAAAGGAGCACTGGCTTCTCTCTTAAAACCTGTAGTGCAGAGAGGAGCTCTTTGGCATGCTCCTAAAAGAGAGGGCTGGCCTGCACTGAGCTAGAGAGCCAGTACTTGGACGTGTCAAGAACACCTCCTGAACTCTGTGCAGGGGACCACAGAAACCTGCTTTTCTTTAGTTTCTGACAAGGAGCTCCTCAATCTTGTGGTTCTTGTGGGTGGCTGTGACAAAGTGCCTGGTAGACTGAGCTAATGATCTTGGTGAGAGGCATTCTTTGGCAATTCTCACCTCATTTGATTTTTCATGTGTATTTTTGCCTTCTCTGAGGGCAATTTTCTTTTCTTAAGTATAGGAAAAAATAAAGCATGTATATTTTTACAAATTCCTTGCAAAAATAAAGATAAGAAAAAATAATCTGAAGCTTCAAGTTTCCTATGAACTTTGTCTTTCAAAAAACAGGAACACTATATTTACAAACTTTACAATCCATTTTTGTGACATTTCAATACACTGCCTTTCTACTGAAAAGTCTAGGTGTTTATAACTTAACATTTGGTCTACTGATCCACTTTAATGATTTTTTAAACAACAGAAGGAGGTGAACATTTTTCATAAGGCTCTATTTACAGACTGCAGAACAGTTAACTCCTTTCTGGAATTGTCAGCTCCTTTAACAGTCTATTCGTTTAACAACCTAAGACTGCATTGTAAAAGATGACCAAATAAGGTTAAAATTGAACATATAAAGTGGTGGAAATATGTAACACCACATAACCATAATTACCTATTTGCATTACAATTCTCTTGAGCAGAAATAGCAACGCCTGAGGCGGATGAAGAAATGCAGGACTTCCTTGTTTGATTTGAACACGATGATGGAAAATGCATATTCTCAGTAGAGGGGCTGGACTTCAAAAAGTACCTACAATGTGAATGACAGATGTTTAAAAATTTTTAGAGATAAAGTATACAAACATGTGCCTCTTTAAATAACAACAAAAATTGTTATTATTACAGGTAGCATTTATACAGCACCAGGCACTGTACTTAGTACTTTAAAAATATTATTATCTCATTGGAATTTCATGACATACTAGTGAGGTAGGTGCTTTTATTATCCATATTTTACAGTTGAGGAAACTAAGGCAAACAAAGTTTACGTGGTTTGCTCAGATTCATGTGGCTAGTGAATATAAAGAAAAAGAAAGGTTATTTATTACCTGCCAGGTCGTCGTAAATCTCTTATTTCAATATTTAGAAAGGGTAAGAAAAGATTTCCACAAAAAGGGCACGTAGTATTGAGATTTGAATCATCTGCTGTCCAACCAGCCATGATTTCTTCATCATGTACTAGGCAGTCACAAGTTCGACATCTTGAACAGCTTGATATGAGAACCTGCAAGAGAAAACAACACTCACTTGAATTTCAGTGATTTATGTATTTTTGTGGTAAAGCCTTAAATTATTCCTTGAGAGCCGCTATCTGGACAAACCGAATTAAAACAAAACCTAATTCAATTAAATCTATCAGAAGAGTAACATTCAGAATTCATTTGAGGGTGGTAGGAAGAATACTTCCCCCTGGAGTCAGAAGACCTGAATTAAAATCCCAGTTCTGCCATTTATGAGCTTCATGACCTTGGGAAAATTACTGGGACTCTCTGGACCTTGGCTGTTCCACATGGAAATGAGAACTCTAATTGTACTACTTCAAAGGTTTGTTCTGAGGATCAAATGGAAATGTATGGAAAGTGCTTTATAAATCTTATGGTACCACATGAGGTAGGTTATTATTATTATTCATAATGATGTTGCAAAGAGAAAAGAAAATCAGTTCATCATCCCATAAATTTCATAAATGACTCTACTGGGTATATGGAGCTGATCTGACAGTTGTACGATAAAACCTCATTAATTTGAAATACAAGGCAAGGGATCAGAAAAAGATTCTGAGTTAACGACATTCATACTGATATTTTTATTAAAAAGCAATACTGTGTATTGTCTGGAGATCAGCAATTACTCCAATTTAGATACCATTGTATTATTCATTGTAATCTTAATAAGAATTTTATTATTACAAGTATACTGTACCCTTAATATTTAAGACATTATTTTAAACTAATAAATAGAAATGAAGCATGCTATATTTGTTTACTATTATATACTTTATTCTTTCATTTATTATGAATTTAACTTTAAATAGTATTAAAAGTGATTACACCTATATTTAAAACTCCTTAATTTTAAAATAGAATTTGAACATACTTTTAACCAAAGCTACTTATTAGTTATTCCCTCTGTACTGCTTTCCAATCTCTTTGTGCATTTGTTCACTCATTTGTGCATATATTTTTCTTTTCATATGGTCAAAGATGAAGAATCATTCTTTTAATCCTGCTTTCGTAAATTTGTCTTATTGCATGTTTTTCTATGTTTCCTTAAATTATTCATTTACCATTCTTAATTGCATTTTAATATTCCACTATGTTGATATGTACCACAGTTTGTTTAGGCATTCTTCTGTTAGATATCTACAGGTTGTTCCAATTCTTTTTGATTACAAATGATGCAATTATTAATATTTTACATAAATTAAAATAACGCTCCTAAGTATATTCATAATAATGGGATAATTGGGTTTAAGGTACAAATATTCTTCAGAAGGATATTCTCCTACACGGGGACATTTAGGTTGTTTCTGGTTTTTTGCTATTATATAATTTGGGAAGGATTCTGAACCTGTGACTCCTATGTATAGAGAATTCATGATGAGCAAACTTCCTTCAATAAATAGTGCAGATGGGCAATTGCTCTGCCCTTCCTAGGCTGACAGAGTTGACCAGGGCGCTGCAAGATGCCTTGCTCAGGGACACATGGCTCCTTAATACACAAGTGGAACTTGAATCCATGGCCTCTCTGACTGAAAGGCTGATTCGCTGTCCACTATACTATGTTTTTTGTTATTATAAATGATACAGTTGTTAAAATTTTTGCATAATTTTTAATGCTCTTGTGGTACATTCCAAATAGTGGGAGTATGTGCTCAAAGGGTATGACTGAAAACAAACAACAATCTGGAAAACCAGATTGCTTTCCAGAAAGACTGCATGAATTTGTAGTCTCAGCAGCAATATATGTAGACACTCTTTCCCTAAGGGCCTGCTACAATGCCTTTTGTTGTTTCTGTTTATTTATTTATTTTTGGCATTTTGACAGATGTGAGGTGGTACCCTATCATTATTCCAATTTTCATTGCTTTGAATGAAAATTTTTCAGGTGATTATATTCAATTTTCTTATCTTCTTTTGTGAAGTGTCTGTTCATATTCTTTGAACTTTAATCCAGTAGGAACTATGGGGGATCCTTAAGTATTGTTATCAGTTCCTTGTAAATTTTTGATGTCACATTTTTTCTTCTTCAGATATATAGGCCATAAATATTTTCCTCTAATATGTTATTTTTCTTTTTATCTTGGTTTTGTCATTAATAATAAAAATAGTTAACATTTACATAATGCTTTAAGGTTTGCAAAGCACTTTTATCTTCATAACAATCCTGGGAGGTGGTTGCTATTATTATCCCCATTTTACAGAAAATGAGGAAACCAAAGTAGATAGGGAGACTTGCCCAGGGTCACACAAGTAGTGTCTGAAGCCAGATTTGAATGCAGGTCTTCCTGACTCTAGATCCAGCACTCTATGCACTGTGCCACCTAACTGCCTCATGCTGTTTTTTGTTATGTAGAATTTTGTACAATTTATTCCATATTTTTTTTCAACAATTTCTTTAATAGATAAAAATTCATCCCCTCTCTAAAAACAAAATAACTAGATTTTTTTTCCTTATAACCTTTTAATGCTTTTAAAAAAATACTTGGTTCTTTGATAAAACTGGTATTGTGTAAACTATGGATATGAATTAATTTTTTACTCTATTGCCATCTAGTCTTAATCTTTTTTTTTGGTGAGGCAATTGGGGTTAAGTGACTTGCCTGGAGTCACACAGCAAGTGAGTGTTATGTGTCTGAGGCCAGATTTGAACTCAGGTTGTCCTGACTCCAGGGCTGGTGCTCTATCCACTGCGCCACCTAGCTGCCCCCCATCTAGTCTTTATAGGCAATGTGGTACGATAGAATGAGTGCTGCCTTAGAGGTGAGAGGGGGGACCTGGCTTCAATTCCTGACTCTGACATTTACTGTCTGTGTGACAACAGATAAGTCATTTAATTTCTCTGAGTCTTAGTTTCTTCATCTGTAAAACAGGCATTTACCTCACAGAGTTTCTACGAGGCTACTGCAGGAAACCAATGAGGTATTTGCAAAGTATTCTGCAAACCTTAAATTATATATAAGTTCCAGTTATAATTATCAGTATCCTGTATTAAATAATAAATATTTTGCCCAGTTTTTATTTCACATAGTTTTAACAAAAACAATTTTATATGTCTATATCTATTTGAATCTATTTCTGAGTTCTTTAGGCTATTGCACTGATCTTTATTTCTAGTTTTAAGTCAGTACCACATAATTCTAATTCTAACAGCTTAGTAACACTTTAATATGAGAGGACAAGTCTCCCAACTTTTAACATTTTCCTTTCAAAACCTCCCCTAATATTCTTGCCCTTTAGATTTTCCATTTACATTCTGTAAAGATTTTTATTTGGATCTATAAAGAAATCCATTGGTATTTTGATTTTGCAAATTTGAATTCGAATCTACAAATTAATTTTGGGAGCAGTGACATTTATATTAGGTTTATAATACCTCATCCTGAAACACTGCATATGCTTCTTACCACTCGTTTCTTCCTGTAGTTTCTCCTTTCCTCTCTCATCTCAGTTTTACAGGTATAAAGGTAGCATTTTGAAAGAATTCTTACCTCCATAGCATAGTTCTGGAAGATATTTGTACTACTTGTGCTGCAAGAAGATGCTAACTCTGATTTTCCAGGTAACACAAACTTTGATAGGGGACCTGTTCATTGTTAAAAAAAACAAAAAACAAACAGCAAACAAAATCTTTCAAATACGATAATAATGTATAGTAGATAATTTTAAAATAACTAAATGCAAATGTATTTTCACAAACAAAATGACAATTTTAGATTTCAGAAATAGTAATTCAAGAAAGTATTCTACATGTGGGGGGAAAAACTTCATGGAAAAACAAAAAAAAACTACTAAGGCAAAAAACAATTTTCTAAGGCATAAAACAAAGGACACTTAAAATGCATTTTTGATATGTATGTTTTAGTTACCAGGGAAAACAAACTGCAGTTCCATTGGTCCATGTAAATATTAGGTTCACTTATTCAACAAACATTTCTTGAGAATCTACCGTATAAATCTCAGAGGTGTTATAGTTATATGCTATATGCTGTGTAGGTTTAGGAGATGTTATAGTTGTATGTAATATAATGTAAGCTCCTTAAGGGCAGGAATGATTTTTTGCTTTGTCTTTTTATTTATAGTACCTAGCACTGTGTCCTGTATATAGTAAGCATTTAATAAATGCCTGCTGAATTGGATTAGATTAATAGTCTGAGAGGATCAAAACTATTGAAGGCTCTCTCTCTTGGTTTTCTTACTATCTGACCACTATTTCTTAGTTTCTTTCAACTGAATCATCGTCCACATCATGTTCACCAATTGCTGGTGTGCTGAAAGGCCCTGTCCTGAGTTCTATTCCCTTTTCTCTAAGTTCTCTCCCTTGGTGCACCCATGCTTCAGCATCCACGGGTTTAACTGTCATCACAATGCAAATGACTCATACACTAACAGATCAAATCCAAGTCTCATTCTGAGGTCCAGTTCGACACCAATAATTGTTCATTGGGCATTAACCAGGAAGCATCTCAACCTCATCACATGTTCAAAATAGAACCCATGATTTTTTCCCTAAACCCACCCTTCTTCCAAACTTTTTCGTGTTGAGGGTACCACCATACTTTTCTATCACTCAGTTTGCAACCTTGCTGTCATACTCAACTGTTTAGTCCCACTCATCCCTCAAAGATAATCAGCTGTCAAATTCTAGTCATTTTTATCTCCGTATTTCTCATATGTGTGTCTTTTGTCTCTACTCACATAGCCAGTGCTCTTGTTCAGGCTCACATTGCCTCCTGAGTTCTGGCAATATTTATTTGGCCTTCTAGTCTCCAGTCTTCTTCGTACTCCAATCCATCCTCCACGTTACTTTCGATGTGATTTTCCTAAAGCATAGGCCTGACCATGTCATTTTCTTACTCAATAAACTCCAGGGACTCTATTGCTTTGAGAATCAAATATAAACTTCTTCACTTGACATTTAAGCTCTTCACAGCATGGCCCTTTTCTAACTGTCTTGTCATTGCTCATTGCTGCTTTCTCTGGACTCCAGAGTGCAGATATACTGGCCTCCTTGTGGTTCTTCATATCCCACGCTCCATTTCCTATGTCTCTGCTTTTGCACCATCTGTCTCTTATGATTAGAATGCTCTCCTTCCTTACTTTTGCTTCTCAGAATCTCTGGTTTCCTTCAAGTCTCAGCTCAACAGTCACCTTGAACAAGAGACCTTTACTGGTCCCCCAACCTACTAGTGTTGCCCTATCCAAGGTCACCTTGTGTCTGCTTTGTAAGTGTCTTGTATATAACTATAGATGTACATGTTGTCTCCTGTAATAGAATGCAAGGAATGTTTTCACTTTTGTCTTTGTATTCTCAATGCTTATCATAGTCATAAGCACACTGAGGTTTAATAAATACTGACTGATAGATAAATGAAAAAAATGAGTTCAGCTTAGATTTTTGAAGTACTAAACACATATTAAAATAAAAAAAAATCTTTAATGGAAATTATCTGTTTTGTAACTATATCATGACTTGAGTCAAAAGGAGTATAACCTTCCAGTTCACATACTGTAGGTTATAGGTTTAGGCATGTGTTTAAAGGTCAAGGTAAGGAAGGAACATGAACCCTAACAGAGAAGACTTCAGAAAGTTTATGTGGAGGTGGAAGCATTTGGCCAGAATGTGAAAGACTTTGCTTTTTAGTTCTGTCAAAGTTATCCTGCAGCACATGGACAAAAGATATTCTTTTTTATTTCAGTCTTCCAATCTCCAAATTAGAGGTGCTCGTCTGCTCACTCCCTAATTAAAAACTAATTTCTACTTTTGTTTCTACTACTTTGTGTTTTTGAGCAAGTAACAAGGTCCTTCTTTGGGCCTCAGTTTTCTTAGCTGTAAAATGAAGGGGCATATTAAATGATCTCCAAGGATCTCTCTAGAAGTAAACATTGAGAAGGTAAGCCAGGTAAAAATACAATATTCAGGGAAGCATTTTATCATTAGAGTGAGGAATTACCAAGTAAAAAATATCACTAAATTAGCAAAAGGGGCTACAAATTACATGAATATGCTTATTATCACAGTAATAGAACTGTTAAGACACACCCTCGCAAGAGGCAGTACTTTCCAGACTTGATCTACTAAGTCCCATTCCCTTTGCCTCTGAAGAGCCATTATTGTCTTGAGGGGAAGGCATTCCTTCAAATTCATTGCAAACATCTTCATCTGTTAAAGAGGTAGATTCAGAATCTAGGGCTCCGACTGAAGAAAGGCTGGTTCGGTCTGAATTCTGATCCTAATAAAACAATTAAACTGCTTATTTCTTTTGCCTATAGAAAGTTCACTATTTTAAAGTCAAAACGACCAATTTAATGATGCTCCTTTACCAACATGATTAGCACTATGGGTACATTCAACAGGAGAAAAGATAATTTTTTTTTAAAAAACAAGAAATGTATCTTTGAAAGTCAGTTTGGGGAAAACATAATTAGACAATCTCAACACTTGTCCACTGAGACATGTTCATCACAAAACGAATTTGGAGCCAACTATCCCAACAACAAACCTGAACTTACAAAAAATGATTTTTCTAACACCTTATAATTTTATTTCAGAGTAACACTAGTCAAGAGGAAAATAATTATTTCAAACTAACACATTTAAAGATATTTTCCTGGTGATTTTGAGGAAACAAATGTGCACTTATTTAAAATGTTTCTGTTTCATTTCATTATCTGTTAATATGCTATGAAAAAAAGTCAAATGGGCAAAAAGGCAGTTGACTCAGAATAAAATAGAAGACTATAAAGGAGTTCCTAATCTATGATAGTAGTCAGGTAGGGAATCTTTAGTATTTGATTAAAATTAGTGTTTTCATTAGCTCTGAACTCTAAACGGCAGTGAGCCAGGGAAAGAATAATTAGTTAAAGGAAAAGTCTTTTCATGACTAAGAGGCAGTTGTGGTAGACAGAGAGCTGACTTGAGAGACTGGGTCAAGTCCTACTTTTGACATCTAATGGCTGTGTGACCCTGGATAAGTCCCTTAACTGCTCGAGGCAGCTCTGGAGAGAAGGTGCTGAGCTGCATAAGCAGAGGAAGTTTCTTACCTGGGAGTTCCCTGTGTCAAGAAAATCAAAGTGCAGTACTTAGCCTTCTCTAGATTAGAAAGGCACTACTGTGGATTTTTTCCCCCCCAACCTATGCAGTTTCATAACTTTTTTTTCTTTCCTGTTTTTACCACAGGAATATTAGATTGGAAAGTCAAATGAGATCTTTGCCCAGAAAAGTCTGATAGGACAAGTGCTAGGCATTAGTTAGCACAGTGAGAAAGTGAAATAAGGAGGGAAAAGGTAACAAGGCGGCCTTTGGAATTCAAGCTACTCTTAAGTTCTGAAGAATTGCAGCCTGAGTGAGAGTTGGGTGTGTATATAATGTAGAAATCACTTTCATTTAAGAAAAGATTCAGCGTGGGTTGAAGACTTTTTTCTACTTAGAACTAGGGGTAATAAAACCAAAGTCAAGTTAAGCATTGACTAATACTAGTTAAAATTTTTTGAAGAGGCACATCTGATCATACAGTGGTACGAATTTCTTCAAATCTTACTCTAAATTGCATATTACTGGGGCAGCTAGGTGGCACAGTGGATAGAACACCGGCCCCGGATTCAGGAGGACCTGAGTTCAAATTCGGCCTCAGACACATAACACTTACTAGCTATGTGACCCTGGGCAAGTCACTTAACCCCACTGCCTAGCCAAAAAAGAAAAACAAAAAACAAAAAACAAAAAAAATTGCATATTGCTGTTTATAACTAGTGACTTGTTTATAATGGATGAATTGTTATTATTTCAAACATTTTTGTAATATAAAAAAGTACAACTGACTGGGAATGCACGGTCCTTTCTTTGTTCATATTGCCTACAGGAAGCTGAACTGAGTTAGAAAGTCCTAAGAAGGCACTGCCATCGACCTGGTGAAAATTCCCAAAGTGCACGCAGATAAGATCAATGGTTTCTAAAGGATTAGTTTTATAAAATCAAGAAAAGGCTGCAATGCCTACCATTTGCTGATAACATTAAAGGCTATTTGCCTTTATTTTCACTTCTACTCAAAAACACATTGTGAAAGTATGTGAGTCTACCAAAGAAATGAAGGCACCCTCCCCCCCTTCGTTAGAATAAAAAGAAAAAAAAGTAAAAAAAAAGACAATGGCAATATCTATAATGCAACAAGAGCAACAATTTCTGCAATGCTCAAACTGCTGATACTGCATTATATTTTTTCATGTGAAAATTTTTTGCCAGGACTAATGTGCCCGTTATCTTCTCTTTGTTATATTATACATCAACAGGTTTAACCAGAAAAACAGTATGAAGACTGAAGATCAATAATAATTTTCTCATGATGGACCCTAATAAACAAGTATATGTTATCTTTCACAGTGGGATTACAGAAAGAAATCTAATCAATAGAATTTTTCCCCCTTAGTGACCTTAGTCTTGTTTGTTCTTTATCTCTGACATAAATAAATCTAAGATTTTTTAAAAAAGTTTTCTTTAGACAGGGCCATTATTTAAAGGATAACTATCAATATCAATTTTTCCAGGAGTCATGTACTTTAAAATTTTCCATCAAGGGGGTGGAAAGGAAATAACCCTGGACACCAGGAAACCTTACCTTGGAGGGTGTAGTATACATAGTGAATCTCGTATACCATTTGCTTGCCCTCTCTGCAACACCTTTTCCAGCAGAGAACATACTACTCTTTAGAACACCCAATTTAGGCGTTATTAATGTATCTAAATTAAATGAAGGTGATGAAACAAGAGTTAATGTACCAGTCACATCCTGAGACTGTTCCCTAAGTGGACAGGTTGGTGAGAAAGTAGGAGAAGACCAGAGTCTATCCCTGGGTCTGTTTTCATTTTTTATGTAGTAACTTTTAGATTTGGTAAGACGCATTGGCCTGGGAGAAATGGGAGGAAGGCTAGACCTTCTGCATGGCTTGGCTACTGTTGGACTTTTCTTATTTGCTGATTGGTCCTCATAAGCCCGTTGTAAATCAATGCTTGGTGTACGGCTGGTCAAAGGACTGCTCATATTATTCATGTACATCACAATTTCCTCAGCTAAATCTCTTCTGGCTGATGGTGTGGAAATGTTTTTGTTTTCATCATTACCCTCATCTTCTTCCACCTCTTTCTGCTGCTGCTCAGTTTCAGCAGCTAAAAGCGAGAGTGGATCAAACCCAGCTGCAACATCAGTTTTCTCAACAGGTTTTATTGAGAAGCTGCTATTCATTCGTTCCACTCTTTTAGGGTTTTGTGCAGGGACAGTGCCTCCTTTTGATGTATCTACTTCACTGTCTAAATCTTCTAAGTCAAAAATCACAGGAGAGTCAGTTTTATCTGCCAAACAGTTGGTACCATCAAAAGGTGTGTCATCATCACTAGATTCTTTTTCCAGACTGTCTCTTTTTGACCTTAAAGATGGATTTCCAATATCAAGGGTATTTGGCCTTGGGTTTTTCTGCATAACATTTGAAAGAATTTTTGCATCAGCTCCTAATTTTTCAACCATTTCTCCAGGACTTTCTTCCTGGCTAATCCTATTGATCATAAGTCCCATCAATACACCTCCACTAAGATTATGATTTCTGTTTTCCCAAGTCATCTGTTGCTGCAAAGCAGGCTCTGCATCACTTCGGTGTCTTTTTCTGAAACCTCTTTCAATATTTTCTGTTTCATTTGTCTCTTCAAAAGAAGATATTAATAGCAGCTCAGATGCATCTTCTGAAAAACAGGAAAGGTAATTTAGTCATGAAGAAATTAATATGAAAAAATGAATTGCATTCAATACCATATGTGCAGATTAAGTTAAGCCAACAAGCATTCTTAAGAGCTTACTATGTGCCAGGCACTACGCAAAGCAATGGAAGATTAAGCTTTAGTACTTATTTTTGCTACTTAAGGAGCAAATTTCATAATAATTTTTAACCAATTTTGCCTGATTAGATAGCAAAAATTATATTTCATTACTATGGAAAACAGAAAATACTTCACTAAGGAAATAATTAAGAATGAAATAGCACAGCTTTAGAAGTTAGCATTAAAACAGGCAGCAATAACCATACTTCTTAAAACAAAGGAACTCTCTGAAAAGCACTAAACCCGAAAGCAAATTCAGTTCAATAAACATTAGGTTCCCACTATGTTTGAGGTATTCTGCTTGGAGCTAGGATTGAAAACACAAAACTGAAACAATACCTGGCCTCGTGGAGTTTATATTTCACTGCTGAGAAATAATATGCATTCAAGTAAATGTAAATTATATAAAAAGTAATACAAAATAATTTCGAGATAGAGAGTGCTAATAGCAGGGTGGGAGATAATCAGTGAAACTCTTGCGTAAGAGGTAACATGTGAGCTGTTTTTTGAGGGAAGCTAGTGATTCTACCAATCAAGTGTGAAAGAAGTGCATTCCAAACAGGAGAGACTCCTTGTGCCAAGACACGGAGAAGGCAGAAAGAATACTATGTATGCATCATTTAGCAGGTCGGTGTCACAGACAAGGAGTACATGAAGAAGAATAATACAAAATAAGAATAAAACAAGAAGTCAGACATATAAAGAAGGGCTTTAAATAGTAGACTAAAATTTTAACATTTTATCCTTGGGGCAATAGGGACCCACTTAAGATTTCTGAGTAGGGGCAACAAGGTCACATCAGTTGCCAATTCTACTTTCTTCTCTTTATCCACATGACTACTACCTTGGTTCAGGTCCCCATTACCTCTCACCTAGATTATTGCAAATCTCATAATGGGCTTTCTGTCTCAAGTTTCTCACCATTCCAATATATCCTCCACTCTGCTGCCAAAGAAATTTTTTAAAGCACGTATATGACCATGTGACTCCTCTACTCAATCGACTCCAGTGACTTCCTATTGCCTCTTGGGTAAAATATAACCTGTTTGGCTTTTAAATCCCTATACACAACCTGGTACAACCTATCTTTCCAACCTCATTGGACATTGCTCCTCCCATGCTCTGCAATACAAACTGAACTTCTCTCTGTTTCTAATTTACAGCAATCTATTTCTCATCTCCATGCCTTTGTACTTGCCATTCCCTCATGCCTGAAATTCAATCCTTCCTTACCTTCATCTCAGAGTCCCTCTTTTCTTTTAAGATGCAGCTTAGGTACTATCTTCTACATGAAGCCTTTCCAGATCCTTCCTATTACTAGTGCCCTCCGTCCCAAACTACTCTGCATTTAACTAATTTGTGTGTATATTTTTTGTATTTGTGTATACACATATATGTATATATCTGTATATGTGCATGTATGTATTTATTAACTTTATATTTATGTAGCATGTGTTTTTAGATGAACTTGTTTTTCCCATTAGAACTTAAGTTCATTATAAGTAGAGGTTGTTTCATTCTTTGTATCTGTATCTTTACTGCCTTGCACATAGTGGGGACTTATAAATTTTACTTGTTGATTGATCTGAATTTTGGGGTTATCAGATTGATAGCTGAGTGACAGATGAATTGCAGAGAAGGGAGACTGTAAGCAGAAAGACCAATTAGATGGCCATTGCAACATTCCAAGAAAAAAGTAATAAAAACTTTGAATTAAGGTAGATGCTGTATAAAAGGAGAGAAATGTGAAGGTGAAATGGATAATATCTGGCAAATGGCAGGCTATCTGGGGTGAGGAAAAGAGAAAAATCAAGGAACAGTTTAAGGTGCAACCACGGGCAACTGTCAGGATGGTGGTGACCCTGACAGAAAGAGGAAAGTTTGGAGGAGGGAGGGTTTGAGGAAAATTACAGTTGATTTTAGACATAATGACTTTCAGGTGCCTACAAAACACCTAAGTGGAGATGTCCAGCAAGCAGTTGGCAGTGTGAGATCGGAGTTCAGAGAATATACTATGGCTGGATAGATTTAGAAGGTCTGCATAGACATTTCTCTTATTGAATCCATAGGAACTAATTAGATCATCAAGGCAAAGAGGGTAGAGATAGAAGAGATGAGGGCCTAGGTGACTATAAATACTATTGACAAAATACAATATATATTTCTGTTTAAAAAATCACTAGAAAACATAGGAATAAATGAACACTTCTTCAACATAGTAAGTAGTATCTATCTAATACCAAGAGTCAGCATTATATAATAATGAGGATAAACAAGGGTCCTTTCCAGTAATATCAGGAGTCAAGTTAGTATGGCCACTGTCACCACTATTATTTGATCAAGTGCTAGAAATGTGAGCTATAGCAATAAGATAGGAAAAAGAAATTGAGGGAATAAGAACAGTAAAAAAGAAATAATATTGTTGCTTTTTGCAAATAAAAAGAACACTTGAGAGCCTACCTACCAAGATACTTATAGAACTACATGAGTACAAGTATAACACAATTTTTAAAATAATAAAGGCAAACATAAATAGTTGAAATATTAACTGCTCATAGTTAATTAAACAAATTAAAATTGTTTCATGAACATGGAAAGGAAATTAAACAAATTAAACAATTAAACAAAAATGTCCATACTAAATTTGGCATTAGTATGGTGAGCCCCTGGGAACAGAGATAAGGGGCCCAGGAGGGGTGAATTGGCCCAGATTAGAAAATAGAGCACGTCACAGTTCCTGTGTTGATCAGAGTGGGACCAGGTCAGCAAAAAGCCCTTGAACTTCCAGTATGGGTGAGAAAAAAAAGTTTGGGATGGCCAAGGTACCTGCCAGAGAGAAATTGGACTATGGGGAGAAAAGAAGGACTAAACCTTAGAGACAGATCATTCAGTGAACACCAAGGACAACTTTAATTATGAAACATCTTGAAATTAACTTCTCCTTCATTTATTTTTATCTCATCTGCCTTTTCATTGTTCCTATCTTCCTTGTTGGGGGCATTATCATTCTTTCACTGACTCAACTTCACAAGATGAGAGTTATTCTTAACTCTTCATTCTCCCTCACTCTTCCCCTCTTCATTCTCTTAATCAGTTGTCAAGACTTCTGAATTCTATTTCCAACAACATCTCTTGCATGAATCTCTTTCTCTCTACTTATTTAGCCAACTCCTCCTGGTTCAGGATTTCACCTATGTCCTTGAATACTGAAATAGCCTTCAAATTTGGTGTCTTTGCCTTAAGTCTCTCTTCTTTCCAATCTACTTTCCATATAGCTGCCACATTGATATCCTTTTTTTTTTTTTTTTAGGCAATTGGGGTTAAGTGACTTGCCCAGGATCATACAGCTAATAAGTGTCAAGTGTTTGGTCTGAGGCCAGACTTGAACTCAGGTCTTTCTGACTTCAGGGCCGGTGCTCCATCCATTGCGCCACCTAGCTGCCCCCACATTGATATTCTTAAAGCACAGGTCTGAACATACTAGTTCTCTGTTCAACAAACTCTAGGGCAGAGATTATTAACCTTTTTTTGTATCATAGACCCCTCTCTGGCAGTCTGATAAAACCTCTCAGAATAGACAGGTTGTTTTTTTTTAATATTAATAATCCCAGGAAATGCTAAATTTCAGTTAGAGGTTAGTAAAAATAAAAATGTAATTTTTTCCCCCATGTTCATGTTCATGAAACAACTGAAATCTATCCATGTACTCCTTGAGGTTACATAGACCTCAGATTAAGAACCCATTCTCCTGAGGCATCTAACTTCTTCTTGGAAAAAGTACAAACTCCTCTGTTTGGCATTTTAAAAAACAGATCTGCACTGCTATCTTTTGTTTTTACTTCATGGTTTCCTGTCCACTCTTCAAGAGTCATCTTTATAATAAAGAATAAAAGAGAAAGAGAAAAATATTCTGGAAAACCAATCAACACATTGAAAAAGTCTGACATTATATGTAATGTTCCATAGCCATGGACCTCCATCTCTGCAGTGGGATGGGGGTAACATTTTCTCATGAAGCCTCTTTGGGGCTAAGCTTGGTGACTATAACTGCAACATCCAATTCTGTTTTGGTATTTTTGTATTTCCATTTATACTGCTGTAATTAGTACACATGTTGTTTTCTTGGCTTTGCTTATTTCACTTTGCATCAGCCCATAAGTCTTTCTACTTTCCCTGTACTGGTCATGATTATTTTTTCTTACAAGAACATTCCACTGCACTCACTTGCTGCACTTTGTTCAGTCATTCCTTAATTGATGGTCATCTATTTGATTTCCACTTCTTTGTTATCACCCAAAGTACTGCTCTATTTTGGTGTCTATGGTACCTAGTACCCAGCACAGTGCCTAGTACATAGTAGCTACTTAATAAATACTTGATGAATGAATTGTTACTAACAGTGAAAACTCCTAGAAAAGAAAAATCTCAAAAAGACTATATTTTTGTTTCAGGGACAAGAGGGTAGTTAGGGCAGGAATCTGTGTTCCATTTCCATAGTGGGCCAAGGAAAGAGGGATACTTCAGTCTGAAATAATGACTGCAGATGATAAAAGTGAATAAGATGTATGAAACCTTATATTTGTACAGTTATGATGCAGATCAATCCTTGTCTGGCTTACTCTGAGAAACATTTTCTCAAGTTTTATTCTAGTGGAAGACCTTTGTCCCCACAGGAGGAACAGGAAGGGGTGGTATTTTGTTACCTGTATTCATCCCTTACTTTCTTCCCTCTCTTATCCCTTCTCACCCATCTCTTCATCCCCCCTGCTCTCATTTGGTGTACCTGCTGGAGCTTCTGCCTCAGGCTGTGGGAACTACAGGCAACTTGAAGCCAGGAGACCCCCCTGCTCAGCTATACTGCTCCC